AAAATCCCCCCGCCCCCCCCCCAGCCACTAAGCAGCTTCTGCAGAAGCTGCAGCGCGCGGCATGTTGCAATCCAGACCGTTGCCTAGCACCTGTACTCTGTTTTGTTTGCTCTCTGTGCTTGCGCTGGCTGGTGCTTACGGTAAATGGAGTATTTCTCCGATTACCCCCCAGGCCCCCCCTTCTACTGACATCTATTTGAGGAAAAGTAGCTTTACCACATAGATGTTTGCTTCCAACCACTTTGGACCCCCTAGAGCCTTTTGAGCTTTCCGTCAGCCCTGGCCGATCAGCTCTGTAGTTTTTCGCTGCAGTGAATTAGTGGAGGGGTCTGTACAAATGCCTGGGAGTTAAATATGCGTATTCCCAAGTATCATGACTAGCCTAGTAGGTTTCATTGTAGGTGAAATGTCTGTTCTATACTTGGAAAGCAGAGGATGTTATGTATTTTTTATTCCACCCACTGTGGAAAGCTTGTGAATTCAATAGCTGAAATTCTGTATATCTTCAACAACACTGTCGGGCCAATCCCATTCCCTTGGCCTGGGAGCAAAGAAAGGAAAATAACAGGGGGATAATACATATGGGGTAACAAAAGGGCAGCAAAACGACTGAGCAGCCTATTCTGGAAGTTTCACGTCTACAGTATACCAGAATAGGTATAGCCTGTGGGACAGGAGAGGTTCTGGTGTCACAAGGGCACAACCCGAAGTTTAACAGAGCAAAGGGTTAGTCAAACCAATCAATTGTAAACAAAGTCGCAGCGCGCACCCAACATATCTCTGGGAGCAGATCGCACTATGGCAGAGCTTGGTTCGACCCCAGCAGGGCTAGCAACATGAACACGACTGGCTCGAACTAATAATGGCACAGTTAAAGTATAGTGAGTTAATTTTTAATGGTAAGCTAATTTTTGATGTATTTGTTATCTACAGCTTAGCCAACTCTTGACTTAAAACAACCGTACTGACGAATCTGAGATTATTTTGTGAATTGCAAATGTTGCTTTGGCAGAGAATTTTACTCTGGCAGTTGCTTTTGTTACATTTAAATTCTGCCACGTTGTATTTAAAAGTTTTACTACTCAAGATCTGTCATGTAGCCTAGGGCAGCCTCTCCCAAAATGCCAGGCTATTGTTACTGAAGAGGCAACATATGGTCATGCACTGGCTAGCAGGAATATCTTTGGATGTATGAATTCATATGTGCAGGTCTTTTACAATACATGCTAGGGACTGCCAGGAGAGGAAGAAAATTGGATTTGTCTTCTTGGAGGGAAATTCAGCTTTCACAAGCTTGCCAAATACCGCCCTGAAAGCTAGGTGCACATCTGCCACTGATTTTAATGATAGAAATGTTTCAATCTCTCAAAATCGCAACCTCTGTCAATGTAATTTCAACCTCTTGAATTAGCACCAGAGGCAGCAGAGAGAAAAGAAAGGAAATTTTGCAGCTTGCACATCACATACCATAATAGTAAGGAATGATGTAGGTTAATTAGACTGTTTAAAACCCCTGAACTCCCTTTATGAGGATATTTGTAAACTTGCCCTATTTGTACCTTTTAGAAATACCCACTTCATTACGACACCAGGAGCGTTGATCTGCCTGAATGTAGAAAGGCCCTACAGAGGGATCTGGACAGGCTGGATGGATGGACAGAGGCCAACTGTATGAGATTCAACAAGTCTCAGTGCCGGGTCCTGCACTTGGGTCACAACAACCCCACGCAATGCTACAGGCTTGGGGAAGAGTGGCTGGAGAGCTGCCCAGCAGAAAAGGACCTGGGGGTGTTTGTATCAGAAACAGTGTGGCCAGCAGGACCAGGGAGGTGATAGTGCCCCTGTACTCGGCACTGGTGAGGCCACACCTCGAGTACTGTGTTCAGTTTTGGGCCCCTCACTACAAGAAGGACATTGAGGTGCTGGAGTGTGTCCAGAGGAGGGCAACAAAGTTGGTGAAGGGTCTAGAGCACAAGTCTTATGAGGAGCAGCTGATGAAACTGGGGTTGTTTAGCCTGGAGAAGAGGAGGGTGAGGGGAGACCTTATTGCTCTCTACAACGACCTGAAAGGAGGTTGTAGCGAGGTGAGGGTCAGCCTCTTCTCCCTAGTAACAAGCAATAGGACAAGAGGAAATGGCCTCAAGTTGCGCCAGGGGAGGTTTAGGTTGGATATTAGGAAAAACTTCACTGAAAGGGTAGTCAGGCATTGGAGCAGGCTGCCCAGGGAAGTGGTTGAGTCCCCATCCCTGGAGATATTTAAAAGACGGGTAGTTGTGGTGCTTAGGGACATGGTTTAGTGGTGGACTTGGCAGTGCTAGGTTAATGGTTGGACCTGATGATCTTCAAGGTCTTTTCCATGTTTCTATGATTCTGCGATTCTATGTGGAATAGCACCTGTCTCCTGTAGTATATCTCCATTACTAAACCACTGTGTGTATTTTAGGGAAGCTAATCTGTAAACTATTCCCATTATATACGCATACATACATACATGCACATGTACAAATGTATAATTTAATAGCCTATAAAATTAGTATGATTTGTACAAGTTTTTTTACAAATTGTAAACAAACTGGTTATCGTTTTCTTCTTATTTCCCTGTTTTCATAGTACAACTAGAGGAAATCACTGAGCCAAACATTGTTATGGATACTGGGGGTAAAACCGTGGCTCAGCTGACTTCACTGGAAACAAAATATCATCCTTACACTCCAGGGTGAATAGGCAGAGACACTTATTTCCTCTTGAGAAATTAAGTACTTCCCAGGACCAGACTTCTCTGTCTTGGTCTGTGTCCACACTCAGGCTGCAGATGTTTTCTGCTGTCAGCTGTGAGTTATGTGCCAAAGGACAAGGAAAGCTCACAGCTTTCAGGGGTTCAGCCAACCTGCCAAAGCTTTTCAGTTCCTGTAGACTCACATCTCCAGCTAGCTCATAACCTCTCACAATTTTAACACCAGTCTGCACCAAGTTTGTCCGCTTACACAATAACTAATGAATTCAGCTCCCAGAGTTTTGTTGACAGGACAATACAAGCACGAGTTGCCAGTTAAAGAAGAAACTTCATCATCTGGCTTGCCCAGAGTGGCATTGCATACAAAGGGCTGGGATTTTAGACCGAAGGGTGAATATCTGGATCACTAACATCACCTAAAGTGAGCAATCACCTTTTAGGAGACTAAATATGCAACTACCTCATGCATGTAATCTCCCCAACCCGAGCATGTGTCCAAGGCCCATGGTGCTTGCTGTCCTGAGGGGGAGAGGGATGTTTTGCGATGCAGCACGCACATTGCTCAGGCTCAGGCAAGGTGAGGTGGTGCTGCCAGTGCCTCAAGCCCTTGCCCCAGCCCCGGGGCACAGTTGGCATCCCCTGGCTGGCTCACATGGTGCAGGGGTCTCCCGCTGCCACAGAGGATGTCGCAGCCCCTGGGCACAGATATTTCCAGGGTGGGTGTCTCTGTCAGTCCTCATGAAGCTCTTCTGCTATGTACGAAAATGCATAAATATTCATGGGTAAGACTAAGTGACAGCGACTGCGTATAGCATCACTGCCGGCATCTGTGCCACCACTGGGGCTGCCAGAGGTGCGGGCAAGCACCGGCAGCCAGGAAGGAGGCTTTACTGAGGTAAGTTTGGCAGCATACAACAGGAGTTTGCCATCACCGCCGCCTCGCCTGGTGGTCAGGGTGCCTCAGGGAAGACCTAGAATTCAGGCTGTGCTTCAACGGGTATTTCAGTTTACTGAATAATTTGGCCTCAGCTCACATGCTGACATTTGCTCACAGACACCTTAGGCATCTCTCTGCTCAGCTTGTCATCTGTTCCAGCTCCCATTCCTGGCAGCCTTCCTGATCCCACACCCTGTATGTCCTTCCTGACCTAACTCTCAGCCAGCTCTGTGTACAGGACTGAGTACCAGTTTAGGTAAGACATCAGCTACATACACCACGCAGAGCAGCTGGAGTGCATGTCCACCTTGCAAAATGCAACACATATAGTTTTCTGAGTTAGCTCAGGGCCTAACAGAAGTATAGTCATGCTGGCAATACCACCTGGTGCATGATGAAAAGCAGGATAAAAATTCTGAGGAAATCACCATGTTAATGTAGATATATTGCTTCTAGTGCCAAAGCTAACAACTGAGATGTGGCTGAAGTTTCTCTTTACTGTATTGCTGTACATAGCCTGCCTCGAGGACAAAGTAAGCTCTGCACCATCCTCTTCTGTACTTTGGGACATAGGGATAAAGAAGTGAAGGGACGAAACTAAATAATACAGCACTTTACAATCAGATCTCTTGCTGAAAACAGAATTTGGCTCCCAAAATGTTATCAATGGCAGTCCTGAAAACCCTCCCGCTGGATCAGAGACCAAGCACTCCATCAAGCATTGTCTGGTGACCTGTGAGTTTTCCCTTATGGTATTAGCATTTGTACACAAAATGATCATCTCTTCTTCACTCTGGAACTAAGGCTGTGGATGCAACAGTAAAACAGTGGTCTGTGAGACACAGTGCCACAGAGGCGTGAGCCAGGCACCGAGGGGAGGACCGCTCCGCACCAAACTGCAGGTGTCTGCAAGGTGGGTAGCACGTTAGTCCCTTGTGTATGTGACAAATCTCTTCTGCTGTCTCCTGTGAATAGCTGTGAGGACAAGAATACTCTGAGGTGAGAACTAAGTCATCATAACACATGTTATTATTCCACTTAACACCATTTTCCATTCACAGCTTTCAAAAACAGAGAGTATATTTTGGGGAAGAAAACTGCAAAACCAACCAAGCATCAAGGCTAACTGGTCTTTTCAATGGCATCGGCTGAATTTGGGGGCACCACCAAAAATCCCAGCCTGATAAGAACACCTCTCTTCCCCATGGGCATGGGACCATTATTCCTACACCCAGCACACGGCCACAAGGGAGTGGGAGGCAAGCCAGATGAAATTGTCCCTGGCACCATGTCCCCATGCTAGGTTGATTGGCTACGAATGATTGAAGTTGAAACCTTAAAGAAAGAATCGATATCTCTTGTTTTTCACGGTGCTTCAGGTACGCTGGGTCAAAATATTTGCTTTTTACCTCTGGGAAGCAGGGCTTAGGTCCATTCTGGGAGTCAGAAAACAACTGCAGTGGGGAAGCACTGACTGGGGCTGTACCAGGACCTGTGGCTCTCGGTACCCCTCTGGAGCCAGGTACCACTGAGCAAGTGCCACCTCCGCAGGGCAGCATGGAAGTGTGAAACATGTACAATAGTGGTCAGGATGCAGCCGCATTGTCAGACCTCCCTAAGTCCACTCATGTCCTGAGAATGGCCTTTATAAAATACAAATACAATTAAATTATTGTTGAAGACATATGTATATTGAGGTATGAAAGAGAAGGATGGCAGCAGGGCACTTGGAGAAGTATAAGTCCTGTCAAATTTTCTTTAATAATTTATTTCTCTGCTTAATCCATAGACGCCTACACCTAGTGACTCTAAGGCAGATTTCTGAAATATCAAAGCAGACCTATTATTTGCCACAGGAGACAGAGATTTTTATTTAAAGAAGAAGGCCGGTGGTCTGGCTGGCTGTGTGCCTCGCAGCTGTGTGCCAGGGTTCATCTTCTGCCGTGGTCCAGGCGGGAGCTCTCTGCAGAATCCGTTCCCATTCCCTTCTGGCCTGCCTGCCCCATTTTCTGCCCATGGACCCTGACCCGGGACCCTGGCCTAATTCAGAGCTGTGAGGGAGTGGGGAAATGCCTGTGTTTGACATCTGTAGAAGCACTGCTGCAACTGCTACTTTACAGACAACCATGAAGCTCTGTAGTTTGCAGGTCCATCAGCACTGGCTGCGCTGCCTGCCACCCGCCCTGAAAACTCCAGGGGCTGAAGGGGAAAGGTCTGTCAGGTTATCATCTCCATGTTCCCTCCCACACAGAACTGTTCCCTACAGTACCTTATTTATATGTGATATGATTTGCACAGGCCAGTCGCAAATGACTCTGTCAATGAGCTCCCACAACTTCTAAATGATTTTTCTGGCTTGACAGGGCCTCCCTACCAGGACATTATTTTTGATGCTAAGCATGCGCTCTCCTCCCTTAATTTTCTTCCCAATTGCTGTTGACTAAAGCTTGTAAAACTCTTCAAATAAGTCCTCCGTTCCACTCACATCTCTTGAAAAAGTTCTCTTTTCTTCTTACCCCTACTTACTTCTAATTTAACATTTACAAACAGTTACATTTTTTAATCTCTCCCCATAAATTAATACCACAAGCCCCTTAATCATTTTGATTGCTCTTCTCTAAATCCCCATCAGTTTGTTTTCATTTTTCTGGTTCTGAGGTTTGCAGACAAAGCAATTGGCAGCTTCCTTGCCAGCACAGGGTACAAAGGGACAAATGACAACCCAGGCCGTGATATATTGCTTTTGGACATAAAATTGCAAATTGTACTGTTTTCTCTTTTTTTTGTTGTTAAAATGTCAATTTGTCTGTTTTCTTTTTTTTTTGTTTTTTTTTTTTGGGGGGGGGGGTGTTGTATTGGGTTTGTGTGACAAGGTTTTGGTAGTAGGGGGGTCACAGGGGTGGCTTCTGTGAGAAGCTGCCAGAAGCTTCCCCCATGTCTGACAGAGCCAATGCCAGTCGGCTCCAAGATGGACCCACCGCTGGCGAAGGCTGAGCCCATCAGCGATGGTGGTAGTGCCTCTGGGATAACGTATTTAAGAAGGAGTAAAAAAAGCTGCGCAGCATCTGGGGGAGAGGAGTGAGAATAGGTGAGAGGAACAACCCTGCAGACACCAAGGTCAGTGAAGGAGGAGGAGGAGGAGGTGCTCCAGGTGCCGGAGCACAGATTCCTCCGCAGCCCATGGTGAAGACCATGGTGAGGCAGGCTGTCCCCCTGCAGCCCATGAAGGTCCACGGTGGAGCAGATACCCACCTGCAGCCCATGGAGGACTCCACACCAGAGCAGGTAGATGCCCGAAAGAGGCTGTGACCCCGTGGGAAGCCCGTGCTGGAGCAGGCTCCTGGCAGGACCTGTGGACCCGTGGAGAGAGGAGCCCACGCTGGAGCAGGTTTGCTGGCAGGACTCATGACCCCATGGGGGGCCCACGCTGGAGCAGTCTGTTCCTGAAGGACTGCACCCCATGGGCAGGACACACGCTGGAGCAGTTCATGAAGAACTGCAGCCCGTGGGAAGGACTCACATTGGAGAAGTTCACAGAAGACTGTCTCCCATGGGAGGGACCCCACGTTGGAGCAGAGAAAGAGGGTGAGGAGTCCTCCCCCTGAGGAGGAAGGAGCGGCAGGGACAACGGG